ATCTATTTGTGTGTGTGTGTGTGCGTGTGCGTGTGCGTGTGCGTGTGTGCTTTGCGTGCGTGCTTTGCGTGCGTGGTTGCGTGCGTGGTTGCGTGCGTGGTTGTGTGTGTGTGTGTGTGTGTGTGTGTGTGTGTGTGTGTGTGTGTGTGTGTGTGTGTGTGTGTGTGTGTGTGTGTGTGTGTTTGTGTGTATGTATGTGTGTGTGTATGTATATATGTAGATATGTATATATACATATATACATATATGTGTGTATGTGTGTGTGTATGTATATATGTAGATATGTATATATACATATATACATATATGTATGTATGTATATATATATGTGTATATATATGTGTGTGTGTGTGTGTGTATGTGTATGTGTATGCATATCAGCTTCATTAGTTGTCAGTCTGTCTGTCTGTTTCTGCATCCGTCAGTGTACATATATTTTTGTGTCAGGTAATCAGGGAATTGGCTTGTCTGCTTGCATGTCTGTCCATTCACGTATATTATTATTACCTCACCGGATTGTCGTAAATGTTGTTCCTGTTATAATTGCTATTGATTGTTATTTTCGATTATTGTTGTTGTTTTGTGCGTTATTGTTGTTCATGTTCTTGTTCTTATTGTTATTATTATTGCTGTTGTGGTTGTTGTTTTTGTTGTTCATATTCTGTTCTTGTTCGTTATTATTATTGCTGTTGTTATTATTATTATTATTATTATTATTATTATTATTATTATCATTATTATTATTATTATTATTGTTGTTGTTGTTGTTGTTATTATTATTACAATTACTATTATTATTGTTGTTTTTGTTATTATTGTTATTATCATTATTGTCATTACTATTTCTATAATCATTACTATCGTTATCACTACCGCTAACACCATTATTATTATAAATCTAACATAATGTTATTTCTCTCTTTCTCACCTTTCTCGCAACACCGCTTCAGTTATCACGTTTCCATTTTTTCCTCCTTTGCGAGCGGTGTTCAATAATAAATGTCAGAGCTTAAGGACATTACCAGATACGGGAAACTGGGCGTCCATGTTCCCATATTTGTAACACGTCCGCCGTCATGGCTAAATTTATCCGCGTCCGCTGGCTTCCTGCGTGCGTGCGTGTCCCTCTCGCGGCGCTGTCTGCCGCGCGGTATCGGAGGCGTTGCCTTGTGCCTGTTGGGTTGTTGTTCTTGTTGTTGTTATTATTAACATTTATTATAGTTATTGTTATTATTGTTATGGTAATTATTATCGTCATGATTTTTTTCTTTTTTATTGTTATTATTTTCATTGATGTTGTTATTATTATTATTATTATTATTATTATTATTATTGTTATTATTATTATTATTATTATTATTATTATTATTATTATTATTATTATTATTATTATTATTGTTATTATTATTATGATAATAATAATAATAATAATTATTATTATTATTATTATCATTATCATTATTATTATTATTATTATTATTATTATTATTATTATCATTATTATTATTATTATCATTATTATTATTAATTTTATTGTTGTTATTATTAATTTTATTGTTATTATTATTATTAATTTTATTGGTATTATTATTATTAATTTTATTGTTATTATTATTATTTTTTTTGTTATTATTGTTATTATCATCATCGTCGTCGTCGTCGTACTAATTGTCATTAGTATTACTATTATTGCATTTATTGCTATGGTAAATATTATTGTGTTATTATTATTATTGTTATTGTTGTTATTATTATTGTTATTATTATTATTATTATTTTTTTTTTTATTATTATTAGTTATTTTTCTTGTTGTTATTATTATTGTTATTATTTATTTTTTTTTATTATTATTTTTATTATTATTTTTATTATTATTATTTATTATTATTATTATTTTTTATTATTATTATTTTATTATTATTGTTACTACTACTACTTTACTATTATTGTTATTGTGAATATTATTTTTTTGTTGTTGTTGTTATTATTATTATTATTATTATTATTGGTATTGTTATTTATTATTTTTTGTTGACGAATTAATGGTGGTGACGAAAATGTTTCAGGCGAGCTGCTTCCCAGCAATGGCGAAAGTATGTCGAGATATCTTTGTTCGTAAGACAGGGACGGAAAAGGGGGGGGGGGCATTCGCTTTGCATCGTGTAGCTTCTTTGATATATTTAATTGGCGTTGTGATGTTTTTATTGTCATTATTATTGTTTTCTGTTGTGATTATTATTGTTTTTGTTGTGATTATTGTCGTTATTGTTGTGTTTTGTTATTGTTATTAATTGTTTTTTTGTGAATTATTGTATTATCATCTCATTGACATCATGATTATAAATTATTGTTACTATAGTTTTGGTTATTATTATTATTTCTGTTAAGATGTTTGGTCTCCGATGCTTCCGTTCTTATAAAGGTGTGTCACAGGTTTCGTTTTTGAGTCACGTTCTTTGTTATTTTTCTGTATATCAGATTTTTTTTCATAAGATATATGAGCCTTGGATTTTTTCGGAGTTGATAACAATGACAATGGTATTAATGGCAGCATTTTTTCATTTACATGGAATGAGGGTGGAGAAGAATATCATACGTCAAATAAAGGCAACGGTATTGAAGTTATTATTAAGCATAATTATGTTGGATGACGGTAACATATCAATGTTTTAGCAATGAGACCTTAATTGTTATTGAAAATTAATAGAAAATTAATTTACGAATATTTCCAAACACGTACGATGACGAAGAAAGAGCCCGCGATATTCTGCGTCTGAAAAGGGCGACGTAGGATTAGCCTGTCCCTCTTGCTGGCGTCCCGGAGGCGTTCCCCGAATGACACAACAAAGTAATTGTTATGTGTTTGTACCGCGGAGAGTGACGAGTCCTTGCGAGAGGGTTAAGAGGCAGGTGTTAATGAGGAAGTTCGACACAGGGCACTAGGGCCTTGCCTGCGTATGTCCCACCTGTACGTAGACACGCAAACAAGGGCTGGAAACGAAAAGGGGTGTGTTTTGTGTGAGCGCGGGGCACGGTGCACAGAGCAGGCACCTGTGATGACGAAATGAAAAGATTGTTTCATGGAGATCTGACGCTTTATATTTTTACTCGACGTTATTGTTCCCTGCATGGAATTCTCCTCCTCCTCCTCCCTTCTTTTTATGGCGCCTTCGTAAGTTCCAAGAGAGCGTTTCATTTAACTACCGACGCTGAAGTAGCCCTTCATTCTTTATCATTTCTAGTGCAGCGAGAGCCCGTGGAAATATATTTGCCTCGCATGTCACAAAGGCAGTAACTCAGAGCCGGTCCAAATACACAAAGAATACTAATGAGACAGTGCTTGGAAAACTTATTTCTTGTCGTACTAACGTATCCGGTTTCTTATATTTATACATATACTCATGGATGAAAGTGAGACTCGGGGGATAAGGTATAGGAAACGGAGCGCTTCGATTGGGTAAGGAAAGTGTGTGCAACGGCAGCTTTGCAAGTGAGAGTGGCTTTGGTAGTGCATGTGGTTGCATTTACTTAATGTGTCACACATGCATGATATATGAAGTTGTTGCTAAAGCTAGAGTTGCTTTAGATGCAGAAAGACAAAGGAAATGGCGTTTCACAAGAGCACAAAGTATTAAGCACTCCCTTGTCCAAGGTAGATTTATTATTCTCAAAAGACCCGAGGTGTGTGGCAAGAGAAAACGATACAGATTATGCTATTTCACAAACCGGTCACCGCCGGGAGGAGCAACATTATTCATGCAGGGGAATTGGTGCACAATCAGTATATAAGTACAGTGGCATCCTAATGAGAAATCAAATAACGTTCTTTTCTTTCCTCTCTCCGCGCAGATGACACCTATATGTACGATGACGACGTCGGCGACGGCGTGGAGGCGGGCGCGTGCGTGGGCGCCGCCCAGGGGCGGCCGGGGCCCCCGCACCACTGGTACGACGAGCCGCCCTACGAGTCCGACCCCGAAGACTTTCTCATCGGCAAGGACGCTTACAGGTGAGCCTAGGTGACAGGAGGAGTGCCTGAGTCGCCACACGTGCATTTAGAAAAAGCATTTCTGGTAAAGTTTAGGCCTACTCTCTCTGACTGGGTCTCCGTAGGTTCAGTATTCGCGAATAGGAAAGGTTTGTATGAGCATTGCTGCTTCTGTAAGTACTTACGCAGGCCAGTGTGCTGAAAATATTGTCTGCAGCTTTGCATGACACGAGGCGCGTCTGTGCGAAGGAGGTAAAGAATGAGGTTTTCATCCCCCTTGCCCTCTCCCTTTCCTCCTCTCCTTCCTCTTACTCCCTCTCTCTCCTTCTCTCTCCTCACTTACCATCTCCCTCCCTCCTTGCCTCCCTCCATCCATCCATCCATCCATCCATCCATCCATCCACCCACCCATCCATCCATCCATCCATCCATCCATCCATCCATCCATCCATCCACCCACCCATCCATCCATCCATCCATCCACCTACCCACCCATCCATCCATCCATCCATCCACTGATCCACCCACCCATCCATCCATCCATCCACCTACCCACCCATCCACCCACCCACCCATCCATCCATCCATCCATCCATCCATCCATCCATCCATCCACTCATCCACTCATCCACCCACCCATCCATCCATCCACCTACCCACCCATCCATCCATCCATCCATCCATCCATCCATCCACTCATCCACCCACCCATCCATCCATCCATCCATCCATCCATCCATCCATCCACCTACCCACCCACCCACCCATCCATCCACCCATTCATCCATCCATCCATCTATCCACCCATCCGTCCGTCCATCCACCCATCCATTAATCCATTCATCCATCCACACATCCATCCATCCACTCATCCATCCAACCACCCTCCCATTCATCCATCCATCCATTCATTCATTCATCCGACCCATTCATCCAATTTTTCATCTTTTCATCTACTCACCCAAACACCCACCCACCCACCTATCCATCCATTAATTGACCAATAAATTAA